ATTACATGGATGTTGCGTATTCCATTCAAAACTGTCGAAGCTATTACTATCATTACACAAGTCAGAAATATCAATGTCCTCAGTTTCACTTAGAATTTCTTTCGTAAAGTTATTGAAATTAATCACATTTTTCATCTTTTTATATGTTTCGAAAACGTTATGCCGATTTTGATAGACATAAAAGTATAAATTAAAAGGTTTCATTTGATTGTCCCATGTTGCGCATATGTCTCTCCACACTGAATTAAATTTAGATTTCAATTTGCCGGTTTGATTGTCACAAATTTCAAAATATTTTAAAGTTTTTATAATTTCAGAATTAGATATTGCAGCACGAGGACTCATTATTATAAAGAAAATTATATGAATGATGTGATATGAAATTTGCAGTGATCATCCTTTCGTTTCTTTTTTACTATAATTTCAAGATATCGCGGACAGAAGCAAAATGAAAATACATGATTTAATTGTCAGAATAACCTACATTGTTGATTTATTATCAATTTAACCTGAATCGTCAACCGTGCCGAAATGATAAATTTTTTATAATGCTAAAAAACTTACATTATTCTATTGTCAAGTTGAACAAAGTAATGTCCCAATAGCGGAATTCTGTTTCAAAGTGAATCTATGCGTTACACTTGAAGCCGCACAAAAAGTATCTTCATTTGTCACAAGTGTTCTCCTATAAAGAAATAAAGAAATAACAATTTTATTCATTATTCTGACAAGAATTTATCTTATGATTGTGATAATATATTTTGCATCATAATAACTGACCTCATTATACTATAGTCAGTTATCTTGCGGTAGCCGCCGGTTCATATTTTACTTTACAAGCATATGTGACTGCACCCTTTAAACCTAATGCAATACTTTGCGGATTTGCTTTGCTGGCTGGTCTTACCGCATCGTCAAAAAATGATGATACAAAGTGCAATTCTAAAATAATGAAAATAGAAATAATAACTGCATTGTGCATTGTAGTTGCGATAAAAAGTGTTATAATAAAATAGTTAATAGCATTACTCTGCTTGTCGATAGAAATGATTGTGGATTGCCTCTCCCACATCTGTGGGAACATCTTTATGTTCATTGAAACTTGCAAATGGAATATATGGTCTGCGAATATCCCATACATTTATACTACAATCAATCACTAGAACACAACTTGCTATGTGATATTTTTTTCTGTGGTCTCCATTTAATGCGTCCCACTGATGCAATAGTATGTATGGTATAATCGCAACTTAATTTACCTGACAGATCCCAAACCTAAAGAGTTCATATAAAGAATATAAATATACAATCAATATTTCATAAAAGTCTATATATAAAATAATGTATATGCCTTAATAGTTTTATCTCTAGATGCAGTAGCGAGCCAAGTGGCTTCAGGATCACAAATAAATATCGGACCACTGTGTGCGGTAAAATGTTGAAAATACTGATCCAGCTTTCTCATGTCCCATTGCTGTACATGTCTATTTTCGGATACAGCAGCAAAAGTATGCGGTTGTTGTGAACAAAATTGAACATCTCTCACCGATTCTGTATTACAAAATATATGAAATATACAAAATTTTAAAATACTAAAAAGATTATTTTGCCGTTATCTTTAACAATTACAAGAGAGCTTTATCTATATATACTATAACATAATTTACCTATAAAAAGTTTTAATGGTTTCTTTTATTCATAAATCAAAACATTTCATAGTACCATCTTGTGAGCCAGATATTAACCACATAGGTTCTTCTCATATGAAAGCTCACTTTATTCACAGTTCTTTTATAACCTATAAATACATGCTCCTGTTTTGACCGAGATTGTTTATTTAAATTCCAAACAACCACTGCACCATTTGTTACTGCTGATATGATACAGTTATTTTAAAAATATGAAATTTTATTCAAAACTTATGATAAACAATCCGTTATATCATAATTACAAAAATTACAACACACACACACACGCATACACATCTATCTCTCAAAAAAAATATATTATACTAAAAAAACACACCGTTACGACCGGCTATCACAACCTAGCTATTATCTTCTTCTTCTTTGTTTGATTGGCACAAATTAATTACCCACCACACGGCCAGATGAGAAGGATTAAGTGAACAATTAGAAAGGATTCCTCTTTAGAAGGGGAAGATAAAACTCAAAAATATGATCCAAAGGACACACGCGTAACGTGTCTGAACACGTTCGTTCCCGCCCACGGGCGGCAACGAACTTTTTTGGCTATTATCTTTATTAAGGGCTAAGGCCGATATTAGAGTCTCTAGTAATCAATGCGCTTAAAAAGTTTGTCGTACGACAAATGTGATATCGGCCTCAGACTACGCATTGAAGATTGAGATCGAAGGATCGAAGA